TTTGGATTCTTAAGAACTGGGCAACTAAGCATAGCAATATTTGTTTTGTTTTTTAATGCAATTAGAAAGAGCTGAAGTGCTTTTTAATCACTTCAAATTAATTGTTTTTTTGTTTTTTTAATAGAAGGATTATTAATAATAAAAATTTTTAGAAAGTCGAACTGTTACTGATTTGAGTAAGTTTAATATTTTGTTTTATTTTATATTAGATTTATTTTATATATATTTTATATATATTTTATTATAGATATATATTTTATGCATTTAACATGGAAAACTGACTCTAATTTGCTGACAGGTAAGTTTATAAACATAAATGTGCCTATATTTCAGTATATTTTATATTATTCTGTATCTAATAAATATTATCTCAAAGAAAAAATTAAAAGAATTGAAAAAATTTGAATATATACATACATATATTACTTTAGACTGACATTGCTTCTTTTTTTATAAAAGATTCTGAATTTATTATTTTGTGTATTAAAATTGCGGCTGAAGGTAAAAATAACTTTTTTGCATTGTAGTCTAAATTCTTTATTAAATTAAAAATAATGTAAATAAATTTTGTTTTATATATTTAATGAACAATTTCTTTATATAAACTTATAAAAGTATCGGAATATCAATGAATCCTAATTTAAAATATAGTCTTTGATTAGAATAGATCACAATTCGTAAAACTATTTGTAACAGTAGTATAATCACTAGTAATATGTTTAATGATAACAGGTGTATAATATTAGGCTTGACGTTGTTGTCAAATGACGAGATAGATCTAGGCCTGATAAAATTATTTGTCGTCTAAATGTAAGAAATTCTGCTCGATGAACAAAAACTTTACTTGCCATAATTAAGTGTCAAGCGGTGTTGATGTCCATTAATTTGATTTTAAATACCACTTTAGAATAAAGCACATTATTAATTTTACTATTTATTGTAACAATTAATAACAGTTTCAAATTTAAATGATTATAACTTTTTTTTTTTTTTTTTTTGTAATAAACATAATTTTTTTTAGTTGCCTTTGTCATTACTTGATTATTTTGCTTACTGTTAAAACATGGTTTTAATTTTGTAAATTTAATATGATGTGAAATTTACTGTATTAATCATTAGTCACAAGTTAATTTACTATATTAATCATTAGTCAACAGTTAGAGAGAAGGTAAATCAGTTAGAGAGAACAGTTAGAGAGAAGGTAAATTAAACAATGCTGGAAATTAACTTTTAATTAAAGTAAAAATAATTGTGTTTATTGGTAGCATAATAAAATCGGTTACTGTTTTTTATTGCATGTCTTTTTTACTTTTTTTAACATGCTGCTTTGAAACACTTCCTCTCTCTCTCTCTCTCTCTCTCTCTCTCTCTCTCTTAGGTAAGACTTAAATGAGAGTTAGTGCAGGGAGAATTGATAAAGCTTATGTAATAACTGAGCTCTTGCGTTTTTTTTAATACTACAATTGATAATGACCATTTATAACATATACTTTACGAGTTAATTGCTATTTAAAGATAAAATCCTTTAAATTGTTTAACTATAATTGTCCCTTTGTTGTTCAAATATTGTAATAAATAAAATCTTTTTAGTTTAAGTATTTTACTTTAGGGATCGTCCATATATTGCATAATGCGAAATTAAACTTATAGACAAAAGATATATCTCAAAAACCGTTTTTCTCTAATAGTCAACTATATGTTGCATCCTATTCAAGGTATGGTAGGTGAAAAGTGTTACACAAATAGTGTTATACTTTCTAATGTTCTTAATTCATAGTCTTTAGATTTCTTTCCAAAAATTTACTGTTAAAAATTAAGAGCACATTTTGTATGTGTAACTTTATTTTTTTTCATAGTTTTTAATAAGTATATCTGTCATTTAATATTGTTATAAAATGTGTTCATATGTGTTATATAAAGTCATATTTGTTTATAGTAGTATATATGTTTAAATGATGTTGTTTCCATTTTTCAAAGTGGTGTGATTTGGTATTATGTTGAGCAAGTTTGATAACCTTGCCAGCCAAGTGGTGTACTTATAGGAGAGGTGTGACTTGGCAGCATTTAATAGAAGGCAGTGTTACTGCTTTAGAGCTTGGTTGTGTTGTCTAGCCTTTTTAAATTATTCTGGAAACACGTAATAATGTCTATTAATGTTTAGCATAATGTGTATGAGAGAGTTTGCAACCTTAATCTTTAAATCTAGCGTGCTTTAATGTCCTAAACTTGAAATAATTGAATAACTAATTTACTTTATTAAAGTTTAGTAAAAAGATAAAGATAGTTTCTTAAACTCTAAATTGGTTTTTTAATATTTTAAATTCCTTTCATATTTTAATTTACTTTGTTACGTTCACTGGATTTTATTGTTATGTGTTATTAATTTAATGTAATTGCTGTGATGTTTTGTGTTGATAGACAACTTGGCTTACCTTCCCGTTAGTGTATATTGTTAAAAACGAATAATAGGTAGTTTTATTATTGAAACATACTGCTTTTATTTATTTACTAAAAAACAAGACAACATTTTGCTAAAAGAGCAATTTATATCTTAGCTTGATTTTTTTTTAGTATAGTTAATCCTTTTGTACTAGTTTCATTTTCGATAAAAATTTATATTAACTGCAATTTCAAAATAAGTAACTATAATTAGGTAAACCGAATTTAAATTTTTATGCGGTGTTTTTTTTTTTTTTTTTTTTTTTTTTGTAATTATGATATCATAATTCCATTACTTTTTGTTCTAGATTTAAGTTACGACGCATTTATGAGATTTATTAAAAAAACCTGATTTCTTTTAATTGTAAATTTTTGTTAGTTAAAAAGATATGAATATATGTAATAAGTTTTTTTTTTATATTTTATGCCTAATAATTTGCTGTACGTATGATAGGGTATCTTTTTAAACGGGGGTAACTAAAACCTTTAATAACATGAATTATACTGTAGTTTTGCGCATTTGTCAAACATCGATTTACTTATGCTTTATTTACATGTTTAACTAATTAGTTAGCTTTGCAAAATTTTTGAGGAAAACAAGGAAACATTCTTATATATGTAAATGATTGTTTTATTATTTTGGTTAAAGGTCTTCATCAAATACTTGATTACTCTTAATTTAAAAAAAAAAACTACTCACCAGGCCAGCATTAAAGCAAAAAGAGGGGAGGAACCTCTTTATTAGTGTCAAAATACTTAGGAAAATTAAATTTCCAGTAACAAAAAGAATTTTTAGTAAATGATAGCAAAGTACCGTTTACTAAAAATTAATGAAATAAAGAGGCCAAACAAATAATATAGAAATGGTCTGTGTAGCGCAGACTTAACAAGACCCGGGTCCGACCAGATTGGTTTACAAATTTTTATCTCTCCTTATCTGTTACAATTTTTATTTTTGGTTTATCATATGACGCATTAATGCAATATAAAAGATCAAATTTTTTTTAAATTTGTTATACTCGTGTTTGACTGTAAATTAATTTTTTTTTATTTGAAACGTATTTGTATTCAGCTGCTTAGTAGTTCCTGTGTAATATATGTTAACTTTATCTTAATCTTAATAATTAATTAAAGTTCATGTTATAAAAATTAATTACAAGGATTTAGTTGATACCTTTGTCAATTTAAAGCATGATGATGTGTTATTATTTTGTGTCAGTAACTAAAAACGTATTGTGTTGAACTTAGGAATGTCGAGGAAAATGGTTCTGTCTTACTCTGTTATGATCAATGTCCGTAGTAAATTACTCAAACAATGTTAAGTAGTAATTGTAACTTTTAAGTAGTAGTTGGTAAATTATTTTACCTGATGGTAAATTATTTTACCTCCTCATACTTTTTATGTTAATTTTACAGATGGAATAATTTTTTCATGTTGAAGGCGTTTTTCTAAAAGAGTATTAGTTGAGGTTTTGCAACATTAAATTGTGGAAAACAGCCACTCTAAATTAGTTATATAACAGACCGACCATAACCAGTATTACGGGTTGCTTATTGCTAGTATGTTATTAATGTGCTATCGTAATTAGTTTAGACAATATTCATTCTTATTGTGAAAAAGATTTTACTTTCTAACTTTTACTTTTTTCAAAACTGTGTAATGGGGCGAAGGTCTTAATAAGCTGATCTGAAATAGATGGTCTGAAAAGGTTTTAATAAAAACCTAATGAAAACTTAATAGTAAAAAAAAAGATTAATACCCGTTTCCTAGTTTTTGTTATAGAGGTTTTTAATTTTACAATAATTTTTAAAATTAATTTGTTTATTTATTTAAGTTGGTCCGAGAAATCTTTACGGTTTTATTGCAGAGTGCGAAAGAGCATTCAAAGGAAGTTCACGCCTTCTTTCTGACCGATGAAAACTGAAATAGTATTTTACTTCCTAGTTTCAAATCATCTTTTGAGAAAATTCGGGTTATTGAAAAATGAAAATTGATTGCAAGTGAATAATGTACTCAAATGTCTCAAATGTTACTGCATAATTGACTTGTTGTAACCAAAATCATTTAAATGAGTTTCATGGTTACTGCAGTTCTATTTCTTGCAACAGTCATTCGCGTCAATGTTGTAACCCCAATTTGTTGCAGTCTTTACTACAGCATTATGGCTTCCAATGTGAGGAACATTTAAAACACTGTTGCTCCTATAGCGTTTTAAGAACTTTTAAGAAATATAAGAAAAAAAATTGTGTTTTTTTTCCAGCGACAAGACTTATCTTATGACATTCATTCATTATGATTATGATTATCTTATGATTAGACAATGATTTTATTAGACAATTTTAGGTAAATGATTTTATTAGACAATTTTGCACATCACAATGGCTTTGAATAACTGTTTTTTACTTATTAAATCAAAGTTTTATTCATTGATTCAATCATTTTCACAAATTTTGCAAAAACTTTTACGTTTAAAACTGAAACTCAAAATAAAGGTATGCCAAAATTAGATTTTATAATTTTTATTATTTCATGCGACTTAAAATGAAAAAGTCATTGAAAATAAAATAACTAAACAGAGTTTATATTTACTTAAATTCAACAAACATTGACAACAAATGTTTTTACACTATCTAGAAATAATCTTAATAAGGTTTTGTTCCAATATTGTGCATAATCGCTCACCAAAAGTAAAACTTACGCATTTAGATGAGTTAATTTTCTTTTTTTTTAAGGTTTAACTTTTTCAGGTTGTTCTTCTTTGACGCGATTTGCTTCTTGGTACTTTTTTTTGGTTTTTTTGCGACCATTCTTTTTGCATTTTTTTTCTTGCGTTCTTGATTTAGCTTGTTTTCTCCTTTTAAAACTGGTGTATCTAAGTCATTAAATTACAACAAAATTCTATCTAAGTCATTAAATTACAACAAAATTTTAAACTAATTAATATAAAAATAAACTTTACTGAGTAAATATACAAAAGTTATAACGAGGTATAAATATTTTTAAAAAATTATAGATTAAAAACTTTTTGATAAATAAAAAAACATACTTTTCTTGTTATCGTTTTGATTACTATTATCATTATTGCCGACAAAATTGCTGATCTCAACATCAATGCCATCATTTTTAAAGTTATTATCATTCTTTTAATCGTTTATCTTTACTTCTGATTTTGATTTCTCTTTAAAAAAATGCAAAAATGTAAAAAAAAAAATATGTATTATATTATATGAATTGACCTTTCCCCATGAAGCAATGCATTATGGTATTTGTATGTACAGAAAAATCAAAAACTCGCGAGTCATAGTTTTTTAAATTTTTCATTATTACGTGGCTTGCTTGTAGATAGGTTTTCTCTCTTATAATTAATTACATTTACGCCAAAATCTTATAAATGTTTTTATCTCCGCAGGAGAATAATTGCATTGTAACAGACGGGTTGCTTTGTTTTTATTCTTTTTATTCTTCGCTGGCCAGCGAAGTTATCGAAAAACCGAGAATTCGTATCAAAATTTACATAAGTTAGCATCAAAAACTGTTGCTTTTAAAATCATTCCTTGGTAAATCGATGGTAACAGAGAACTTTAATGAAACAGGCACTGCATATGAAAATGAGTTTTACTTTACTTCTAAAGATCAGGCTGAACCAATTAATATTATAACTAAATTAATATAAAAACTAATACCAATTAATAACATTATTAACATAACCAATCAATTGACAACATAAATTAGCATTAAAAGCTGTTTTTTTTTAAAATATTAGTTAGTATATTAATGAAACAGAGAACTGTAATGAGACAGACACTGCGTCCTACTGAGTTTTACTCCTAAAGATCAGGATGAACCAATTAATGCCCATTATGAGCCATTATTTATCACGAAAACCAAGATAAAATTACAGAAAAACCAAAAGTTTCATTTAAACTGTTAATGCAATCTCATCAAAGTTAACTTAATACAAATTTGTTTATAACTTAAAGAAAAACAATTCTTGGAAAATTCACAGGCCTGGACTTCATCTGTTTATGAAATACTGAATCTGTTTATAAAATGGGGATACATTGTAAATATTGGTAACCCCTTGCAAGTCTTTATAAGTCAAATAATGTAATATTCTAAAAATGTTTGCTATTTTCCGAAGGACTATAATCTTAAAATTGAAAGTATTGCGAAATATAAACTTTTGAATCCACAATCGCTGGTTTGTACATTAATGCTGATTATCCTTAGTGCAAGTCAAGATAAAATTGAAAAATGAAGTTGTCATGGAACGGGGATTTTTTAAATGAATTTCTCTTTAATTATAGAAACAGCTTAGAGTTGTGGAAAGATGACCAAAATTATCCACTTAACAAAAATGATCTAATTAAAACTAATCACAAGTATTACTTTTTGAAGTAATGGAAACATGAAAAATGATAAACTCTGTATCTTTAGAAACAAACTTAAAACAGTTTTTGAAGAAATTACATTTAAAAAATTGTAACAAGAAAATTGAATCCAAATCAACTACAGCTGTTCTGTGAGTGTAAATTTTCATAGTCCAGTCAAATGGTATCATTACCTCTGTCTTCAAATAAAAAATGTTTTTTTCTCTACCTGCATTTCGCAGCATAAAGACAATATAGTAACCTTTTGTGTAATACTACTAAATAAAATTTAACTTCTTTTTAAATTGAAAAACATATTTTATGATTTACTGACAAACCTTTTGTCATAAAACATTTTATAAACGTTATTAATATTTAAATTTTTATTAATTTTATTGTAAATAAAATATATATATATATATATATATATATATATATATGCATATATATATATATATATATATATATATATATATATATATTATATATATATATATATATATATATATATATATATATATATATATATATATATATATATATGTATATATATATGTATATATATATATATATATATATGTGTATATATATATATATATATATATATATATATATATATAGTATTCTGTAGAATTCACTATGTTAGTGAATTCTACAGAAACATGAAACATTGAGTGCTCAGTTTTTGAATGCATAGGTGTTATTTTCACAAACAAAAGCATTGCTGCAATAAAAATAATTTTTTAAATTATATATATGTATAAATAAAAATATCACATAAATGTATATATATATATATATATATATATATATATATATATATATATATATATATATATATATATATATATATATATATATATATATATATATACACTTATTATATATATATATATATATATATATATATATATATATATATATATGTATATATACTTTATGTGAAATTTAATATCAGGCATGATTTGATGACAAAGGGAAAGAAATGAAAACTTAAACAAAATTTTTACATGTTTTGCCTGTCGTTTTTTGCGTGTGCGCTTAAAATGTAAACAAAGCAACCCGTCTATTTTGTTAGAGAAGCTTGTTTGAAGTATATTTTACAAGTATACATCATTAAAAGAATTTACACTTAACTCTATAAATATTCCTGCTGGATCTAGTTGGATCTTTTTGAAAAGACCTTAACATATACTAAATGCAACATTTTGTATAAATACAAAAAAGGAATTTAACAGCGAAGAAAACAAAAAAATCTCTAAAGATGTAATTTAATTGCCAAAAGACAACATCTCTGTTTCCGATAACACATCAACATATATTTACTTATATAGTATCAGACTATATTTCGAAAGAAGAGCTGCTAAACATAAAATAGCTGGTTATCAGTTATTTAAAGAGAACTATGTAAAATAAATTAGAGTTCCAAATATTTTATCATACAGAATTAAACCAAGGAATGACAATCGCTGTGTTAGTTATTGAAATTCAATTTGGCCAAAATCATTTTGTAAAATATTTACTAACGAGTAAATGAAAGTTTAACCTTGTTATAATGTAAAAATTCCTACACTATCTGGACCATTTAATTAAAACTAATTTGACTGAGGAAAATTAAAGCTTACCATAATGTTAATCAATTTTAGGAAAATAATTCAAATTAAATCAGAAACTAAAGATCAATACAAATAGAAAAATGGATTGGAGAACAAAATAAAAAACTTACTGCATCAAATTTTTGTACAGTTATAAACCGTAGAAACAATACTCCTATAACTTGATTGTTAAAAAAGCTTATAAGAGACTGTGATAGTATATTACAATCACAAGCTTGTTAGTGGAGTATTGAAAATGAAGATATTGCTCATGAAAAATTCAAAGTAAATGTTAACTGTGATGTGAAAAAATGTGATCTTTTTATAAATGCTAAATGCCATGGCTGGTTCTAGCCCTGATGGGTTGTGTATTAACAAAGACAGCTGCTTCAAAATAATTGAAGTAAAGTAATCTTTTTTAAAAATAAATCTTTGTGTACATAAAGCTTGTACCAATAAAACTTTTTGTATGGAAATAGTAATAGACAACAAAAACTAAAAATAAAACATTTAAATTTTACCAATGTCAAGCTATCAAAGCTATTACAGAGATGAGCGAAATTCACTTTGTTCTATACAAAACTAAAGACTTTTTTTGTGCAATCAATAAAATTAGAAATAGAAAACTGGTTTAATAAAATTTTACCTTGTTTAAATACATTTTATTTTCAGTTTATGATTTAAAAATATTTGAAAAGATGTAAAAGTATGCAAAAATTATTATAAAAATTTATCATTTTTTTTATTCTTCAATATTTATTTTGTTGGGAATTGCATTTATAATTGCAATTGGGAAACAGTAAATTTTTATGTTTTACTTAGTTGTTAAAGCGTTTAGGTACAAACATGTAAACTCCCGACTTCTTTTTTTGTTTGTTTTTTAGTTGAAAAACATTGCTTGGTGCACTTGTTGTTATCTTTTCTTCGAAGTCTTATATAGTGTAAATTTTATTCCAATATTATAGTTTTTAAAATTTGAACTGAAAAGATGAAAAGGAATGAAATAAAATTCACCAAAGTCTATTGGGACAATCTCAGTTCTTTTAATGTTTGATATTTTACTCGACATTTTATTCGACTTTTTTTTTGTTTACTTCCGCGCACATACAAGTACTATAATGCATTGCTTTATGGGGAAAGAGAAATTGCAGTAAAACAAATAAATACAAAACCTCTACCATCGTCAGAAACATGCAATGCGTTTAATATGTTTTGAAAATCATTTTTCTCATTCAAATATTTAATTTAAAAACGTCATGGCACTTAACGCTTACAAACTCAATGTCTATAATATTTTATGTTTTATGTGTCGTTGTAAAAGCTAACAACCATTGTTTATTTTTAAGGATCTTTTTACCCATAAAGCTTTAAACATATACACTTTACGAAATAATTATTTATTAACTGAACCGTTTTGTCAAACAAGGTTAAATCAATTTTGCACAACTTTGGCGCGCCATATTTATGGAACAAAATTGTTGTTTCCTAATTTTAATTTGTCAATTTCGTTTTATAAAAATACTTTTATATAAATATTTTTGTAAAGGAAAATTATTTTCAGTCTGGATAATTTGTAAAATTATTTTCTTTGTTTATTCTACAATATTAATAGTTATTAAACCAATCATATTTTAATTTTACTATATAAACACATTTGATATAATTTATATGGTTTTGCCGACAAAATCTTTTGGAACTTTTTTCAGATACCAAGTTTATATATTGTTATATTGTTATATTACAATTAATAATTGTAAACTTAAAAGAAAGAAAAAGAAAAAAAAATGATTGCATTAAATTAAATTTGAAGGAAATGAAACTTTATTGTTTTTTTGAAAACACCTTTTTCATAATACCAAGTAACGGGTATACAAAGGAAAACTGCGTTTCATACCCGATGAAACGCGGATTCAGACCAAACATTACACAACAATGCCAAATTTTTTAATGCTATAAAACAGTTTTCAGTTTGCTGTAACTATTTTTATGACGCAAGTAATGTAAAAAAGTTTTTTTTTTATTTACTAATTTAATAGATAAATAATAAACTATTTTTTTTAACTAATGGGTAGTTAAACTACGCTCAAAATCTTCATGTCTTACATAACAATCGCAAGTGCAATGATCCATTTATTATGTAAAAGGAACTTAGATTTAAGTAGATTTAAGGAATTATGTAGTTTAAACTATATCCAAATTTATTTTAATATTAAATAATATTTTGACCTTCTCTATAAAAATCAAAAGCCATGAAGTTAAAACAATAATTTCTTTGTTTGCGGTGTTTTTGTATTATAATTTTTGAATAAAAAAAAATATCCTAAACTTTCCAAATTATAATCGACTTAAAATATAAATTTAGGTTAAAATAATTTCTGCAACTTAATACTTAGTTTTGATTTTTTTTTTTTGTTTTTTTTGTTTTTTTTGTTTTTTTTTAATCAATATAGCAATCAAATTTCGTGTTTTTAAATGTGCGTTAGGCCAGGAAAATTATTTCTGAGGTTAAAAATTATATCCATTCTAGCTACAAATCCGCAGCTTCAATCTGCATTCCTTTATTCTAGCTGAGAGTGGATATTACACAAACTTGGTTAATAAAAGTTACAATTCCAAATAGTGTAAGAGCCTGTGGCCGCCAGACCTACATTATTTTATAAGGGCTAAAAATTTCTTAACGCATTCTCCTAACACCAGTAGAAACAATGGCAAATATGTACTTTAGATTATGGTGTCTTTGACTAGTAACAGGTACCAAAAGGTTAAAAAAATAAGTATTTGTTTCTATTAGCATTTAAAAGCAGTAAGAGTCTAAGTTAAATTTGTTATAAAAATGAAGTTAAAAAATGGTTTTAATAGCCGTTTTGTTTTTTATTTTTATTTTGAACAAAATAGCTATTAAAATTCTTTCTTTACTTGATTTTTATTACAATTTTCATCTAAGATTCTAATTGTTATAAAAGCTAATAAAAACCAGTTAAACCTATTAAAAGCTAAAATCAATCTTTTTTTAATATCAAAATTTTTTTGAGGACAACTCCGACACCGAATCCAACTCCGACTCCGACTACAACTCCAAAGCAAAATTTTTGAAAAATTCTTTGAATTCTTTGAAAAATAATACGCAATAAGAAAAAAAAAGGTTTAGAATGAACATAAGTTTATTTAACTGTTTTATATATGCACCTGCAATGCCGAGAAGTTTTACTATTGGATATACTCCGACTCCGCTAAAAATGTTGCAATTCCGCAACTCCGAATCCGACTCCATAGCCCTGATGTTTACTATTACTATTACAAAGAAAATTTTAGGAAAATTACGTAATATAATTTGACGTACTTTAGCCAGTATTTTAAAAACCTTTGGTACCGGTTACCATCCAAAGCTACCAAGATCTAAAATACATAGATGAACATCTTTCCTAATTGTGTTAGAAATAAATGCTGAGAAATTATTAGCTTTTATAAGATAAGACCTGAAAGTTTTTTTCTTTAATTGGAGTGATAAGAGTCAACCTTAAAAAGTTGTTTCGAAATGGTATTTTGAACAATTTTAATTGTATAATTTAAGAAGTTGAAGTTAATTATAAGCTTTCAAATTTCGCTATTCAAAATTTTTTCGTTCAAAAGCTGTAAAAAAATTTAACTTTAAAATTGAAACTCCATATAGTACAAGACAAAAACAAGATATGTCGGTAAAATATGATGCATTAACATAGTCAAGACCTAAAAATAGTTAAAATGAACATGTGCTCACTTTATTTTATTTCACTAGCTTGTTAATACTTTTTAACTATTCTGTTTATTTTCTCTACAAGTTGTTATTTTTTTAAAGATTTATTATTATTGTATTACTTTTAACTGTTTACTTTCACAAATTATAATAGTAATATAAGTTATAGCATACAATATATTGTATAACAAGTAATGTAAAAAATATAATAAATATATTTAAAAAATTATTATAAGGCATCTTGGGTAACTCATAAAGGAAGCTTCTTGCCTAAGCTGAAGTCTAAGTTAACAGCTGATTTTAAATTAATAATCTAAATTTATAGCTGAAGCCATCTTAGTTAATAATAAATAAAGTTATACTATTTTCATTAACTTACTAACAAAATCTATTTAAAATATTCGGTATTTAAAACCACTTTTAGAGGGCCGACACACGGGCCTCAAAGTGGAGGGACACAATCGTCAATTTTTAAAAAAAGTTCATTATATCTAGACATTTTTAAATTTAAAATGTACTGGTGTTTTTAATTATGAAAATAAAAAAACAAAATTAATTATAAATAAAGTTATAAATAAAAATAATTAAAATATTAAAGCAATATGATTTTTAGGCAAGACTAATTTATACACTTTGTCCAACATTAAAACTTGCTGTAATTAAAAATACCTTTTATTTGCATTGATCCTTCGTATTTTTCATCTTTAATTCGAAATATTCCATATGGTTTTGGTGTATTACTAACACTCATGGCATCAGCACAAACTAAAACTATCAATCCTGCAAAGTATAACTTCATTTCTGCATGTATTCTTCAGTTAAAATTTTATTTCTTGAAAAAACTAAAAGCCAAAAATAACATGAAAGGATTTTAGACGTCTATTGTTGCCTTTTGTTTACGGTATCGACGATACCGTAAACAAAATGATACCATAAATGATACCGTAATAACAAAACAAAACAAAAAATGAATAAAAAAAAGTTAGAGAATTCAAGTGCAAACTTAAGTCTACAATTGTAAATACAAATATTAAAAAAAACTAAAACAACAATTATTTGGATCAGATAAAACGTTTGTTGTGTAGTTAAAAGTTCGTTTTATGACACCACGTTTTCATCACAAAATTTATACGTTTTCGGCTTCTTTATATTTAAGCTGCTTTTAAAAATTTTAAATTAAATCATTTCATTGACTTGATTAACTTAATTATATATCCTAAAACCTAATTAAAATATTCATTTTTTATTTGTAAAATGTTTTTATTCTAAAAATAAATTTAAATCTTCATATACGTAAAAAAGATTTTGTTTGGAGATTATAATTTTTATTTGTCAAATGCCTTCTATTGTAATTGCTGGTGTCTGCACAGTTTAAAGGCGTCTTGCTAAAGGATTTTAATCCTTGTACCGAACGGCATTAACACGCCTCAAATCAATAGTTTTGATTATCTAAAATTTTGCACAGAACACAAGAAAGTTGTTTAAATGTGGCGATGTGCCATGCTTTCAGACGAAGCGCAAGTTAAGAAGTTTGCAAAACATATTATGAAAATGTTATTAAGACACGACTCCGAGAATATGTTTTATCACGTCGCTGGGCAGTTCACCTGATTTAAACCCGATACAACCCAATTTAAACCCAAAAGCAGTAGCTTTTACACAGAACTTAACCTTTTATTAGATCTGGTAAAAGCTTTAATGAAGTGTTGTGTCATAAACAAAAATCAAGTATCGTAATTTTATGACACCTTATCTATTGTTGCAAAAGATAGCCTTTTTTTTAAAGTTCGATTACTAAAATACTTTTACATACTTTATATTTAAAAGTATTTTGCATATAAAATATGTAATGATACTTTTTTAATTAAAACATTTTCTAGAAATAAATGTATAAAGTATGCAGTGCAAGATCTGTTTTTTGCTATAAATATATTTTTGGCCATAACTGTACATAGTATATTTTAATAAGTTTAATACATTTATGTACTCGTTGTTGTTTTTATACAGGTAAAGAAAAGTTACTTTGCTTTTACTTACGAAATATTTTAATAGTGTTAGAAAAACTTGTATCCTATTTATAAAATATATAGCAATTTATCATTGTATAACAATATATCATTCAACGGTGGAAACTTTCCAATTAAATGTTTTTTTCGGATACTCCTTGCACTTTAATAAACAATCCTAAAAACATGGATGACTTAAAATGTTAATTACTTTAAATTAATTTATCATTATTTAGTTTATCATGATAAAACGATAATAATAATGAAATAGTAATAATATTATAAATGGCGTCTTCGAAAAAATAACATTGAAAAAATAACATAAATAAATAAAAAAATAACAAAAATAAAAAAAAAAATAACATTGAAAAAATAACATAAATAAAATAAATAAAAAAATAAAATGGCGTCTTCGAAAAAATAACATAAAAACTAACATTGTTTCATGCTTATTGCAATTTTTTACATTTACTTGAAAAAAATAATCAGAGAACTCTTTTGGTTTGTGTGTTGAAATTCTCATAACAACATTTAGATATCAACTCGCTTTTTTGTTTAATAATTCCTTTGCCCTTTTTTATAACAAAATTCTTAGTTTTTCGTATAACAAAGTAGGTATTTGTTTGTAATGTTTATGTATGCGGTGTAGTATGACATTTTTACTCGCACGTTTTTTTACTCCCTAAAATCTTTAAAAATTTAATATTAAATTTTTACTACCGAGTAAAAATCTCATATTAAATTTTTACTCCCATTATTCAATTCGAACGCATATTTTTAAAACTAAAATGCTTAAAAATGCGACAAAGGGCAAATGATGCGGAAATAATTTGACGTGCTCTTTTTACGAACGTAGATCCAAGTATACAGCAAATATAGAGAAAAAATAAAATAAATGACCTACCCATGCAAATTACGGCCTAAAAAGTTGTGTGATTTTTTTATATTTTTAAACAACTCAACTGGAATCCACTCTGATGCTGTGATTAACAGTGGAAAATCTAGCGCATTTACTTATGTGTTCAATTTATATTATTGTATTTTTTTTTTTTTTTTCGCTCCATATTTACTTTGCATGTATATGGACAACTATTCTTCTTGAAGCACATCCTGTTATATCCTCGTTAATTACCGATGTATTTTATTATCACAAACTATCATTTATCTTAATAAGTAAATCTTTGCGCAATATTTAAATGCCTAATAATTTCCTCGTATATCTTGTTGCGCTTTTAGTTGGAAAATATTAGCAAAACTTACTCGTTTTCATCTTCATCGCTAATATGATAAAATAGACTGGTCTGAAGAAGCAGCAATATAAAGTAATGTAAAAGTTTTGAAAAAGTTTTATTTTCACATTCTGTATACTGAAATCTATTATCTGTTCAAATATTATACGAATTGAAAAATTTTTGGTGCTAAAAATGGACAAAGAACATATCAACTTTTATTGATGCCCAACTTAGTTTAGTTTTTCGTTGTTTTTGACAAAAAACAACGAAGAACTATACCAGTTTGTAAAAATTGTATCGCCAAATGGGGTTAGTTTAATTCATGAAGATTTAATCTATTTTGTATCCTCTAATTAATTTTTACGTGAAGGGAGTTAATTTTTCACGGTGGTTGAATTATTTCGCGACACCGGATAAAAAATTGTTACAATAATTTAGTTTACAATGCCATAGGCGATTGTTATAAACATATATCTTTATTATAATTAAGAATATTATTTATTATAATTAAGGTTATCACTCCTAAATAAATAAAAAAAACATCGTCATCGGTTGGTAAAATATTATTATTAAATGTTTTTAAAAATTTTTAAATGAGATATAGAACCATAGCCATAGGTTTGTAAACTTATCATATTTCAGTCAGTTATTTTTCCAATAAACACAATTTTATTACTAAATAGTCATAACACATATAAATTTAATTTTTGTTTATCATAACGTTTACTTTATCTTTATTTACATTAATGTTATTTTTTTTTAATAGAAGTAACAACATATTTTGTTAACGAAAGTTAATATTTTCCATTTATGTTGATTGCATTCTTTGAAAGGCTGTCATGAAATATTAAAATGAGATTTTATGTGTAAAGAATTTATAATAAAAAGCTATATTAGTGGCAATTTTAAACAATTTACAACAAAATGACTTCTTGGTTCAACCAGTAACTGAATATATAAAACTTATTTGAATTTACTGATTAGAGTTATGACTAAAGAGGTACTATATAGGGCTTTAACTGAAACACTTGCATTTATTTTTGAAGAAAAATGAATTATGGATATATTTTGCAATTTTTTAGTAAAACGCCTTATTTTCTACGTTTTGACACATTTTGAAAAATATTTCTCAAAAAATGCATGTGCACTATTGATTTAAAGTTTTTTTTGCGTCATATTTTTTCGGCGATCTGATTTTATGTTCATACTATATTGATTGCGCTGGATAAACTATATTGCTATGGGTTATACGGTTTTTTGTGTTAAATTCGATGGGATTTAAAATTCAAAATAACAATATAAAATTATCTTATAAGCTGCTGCGAGCATGATGATGCTATGATATAACAAAATAGACCAAACTTTCCTTGATTGGAACTATAAAGTTTTATTTACTTAATCAGTAATAAAATCAAACGGTTGTAGAAATAGTTCAAGCGCAATTTAAAAATACTTAGTAAAAACCATAAACCGTAAAAATAATACTTTATTTAGTGATTTTAATCAATAAATATAGAGAACGCCATAACAGCCGAAACTTTTACACAATTTTTTGTTTGTAGACTTTTAGTTTGTTAGGGTAATATTAATCCTATTATAAGTCTTGAATGAGCTGTTTGAATTTCTCTGTAAATACAGAAATCATTTTTAATTAATTTTTGTGGGTTTTACTGTTGTTGTTTTTCTTTTAAAAAAAAAAAAAAAAACCGTTCTGATTAAGGAATCAAAATGTTCCAATTTTGGGAACCAGTTGCCTTTTTTGGAACAAAATGGTATCTTTGCAAAAACAAATTTTTTTCCAATAACATGGCAATCAATTAAGTAAAATATGGTTAAAAGTGTAAATCACAAATGCTTTAATAGTTAATCCATCTCTGGTTAATATTTATTTGTTGCAAAAGTGTTTCAATCAAAGAAACTCTCCCCCTAGAGTTATGGTCGAAAATATATTTATGGAAGAACACAGTTTTTGTATTGCATACATGCACATTTATTACTGGAAAACGTTTTAATTGAAAAATTAACATTTCTAAACATAATTAAATTAAAAAGTCACATTATAAAACATGTTTAAGTATTTTGGTTGTTGAACTTTTAGAATAAAGGCTATTTTTCGCGGTATTCAGGCAACAACAGACAGGATGTCATAAAATTACGATACTTGATTGTTACTTATGACACCACGCTTTTATTAAAATTTTTATCAGATCTGCCTATAAGTTCGGTTCTATTTAAAAGCTTCTGCTTTCAATTTTACCCAACAGTATTTGATCGAAATAAATTTAAATAAAATGAACTTTTCAGCCACGTGGTAAAACACTAACAGCACTTTCTTGGAATCATGTCCTAATAATTTTTTACCCGATATGTACTGCAAACGTTTCAACTCGCGATTCGTCTGAAAACAAAACACATCGCCACATTTTAATAGCCCATTTTCTAATGTTCTTTGAAAAATTAAGACATTCAATGCTATTGATTTTAGAAAGGAGTGGTGCTAATGCCGCTTGGTATTAAGATTAAAGTCTTTCGGCAACGCGTTTAAACTACGCGTTTAAACTACGCGGGTACCAACATTCACACTAGGAGGTATTTGAGAAATAA